TCCAGACGTCAAATATGCTGATCTCCCCCCAAATTTCTTCTGTATGGTTACTCTATTTTTTGTTTCATTGTGTTACTACAGGCTCTTAATTGAACCCTTGATACCTGCCAAGGAGATTTCACTTATAGATAGCTATCAAATTGGATTTTTTTTGAAGAGAAATAAAGGCTAATATAACCTCTTCTGTTGCCTTGTTGACATTCCTTCTAGTATTAAAATATTTAAAAATCTAGGAGCTACTAAGGCTAGAATAGTGACTATCAAACCTATCTAAGCCTGAAATAGCCCAAAATGGCTCCAGTGAGACAATGTCATAAAAACCTCTATTATATTTTTAGTGGTTTGGTATTAATCATGTTCAAAGCAATTAGCACAAGAAATTAATCCAGGTGTTGCTTAAAAAAAAACATTTGTTTTTTTCTTAAAAAGCAATAACTTCTCATTACAGAAATTGCAGGTGCATGGTGATAAGTATATGTGACAAATTAACCAAGCTATAATATGGTCAACACAAGTCTAGATGTTGCTGTGAAGAAGACATTTTTTAGATGTGGTTAACATTTAAAGTCAGTTGACCTTTAGTGAAAGAAATTACCTGTGATAATGTGGGTTGGCCTCATGCAAGCAATAGAAAATCCTAAGAGAAAATTTTTAGGAGAAGAATAAATTCTTTCTTAGGACTACAACAGCAATTCTGCCTGAGATTCCAGCCTGTCAGCACCATGCTTTATGAATTTTGGTCTTACTGACTTCCACAATCATGTGAGTCATTTATTTAAAATAAATAATGTTTGTGTGTGTACATTTAATATACTTATCAAATCTACTTATTTGGGGAACTATGGCTGATATATATATTCGTACCCAGAATGTTTATTGAGAACAGAATTTTAAGTATAATATGTCTTAATTGTTTTGGGAGTTTTCAGAATCAGTTTTCTATTAAGATCAAATTTATATGCATTATGACTACCTTTCCAGTAGGAAAATAAAATGATGTCCATGATGTAATGTGTGGATAGAGTTACACAAAATATCAACATTGGATACTCCATCATATTCTTATAAGAGGGAATGCTCTCAGTGGCTATGTGTTTGATACTTTAGAGCATTTTTGTTAAATGGCAACTGTAATGATTTTAACCTGTAGCTCTTAATTGGACTGAACAAAGTGGGGGCCCAAATAAGAGAAGTATTCTGCAAAAATTCCTGTCTACCATGTAAGTTTCTCTGATCTCTTTCATTGTCAACATTTTATCATAAATCTGCATGTTTTGTTTTTTAAAAAAGTCCAATTTTCATTATACATTTGAATGAGATGGTGTACCTTTAATACTCTACTTAGGCTAATCATAGCAATATGTGGTAGATTTTGTCTAATATTGACTTTCTTTGTGTGCTGTGATATTGCATTGATTTACATCCTGAAATATAAAATTTTCTCCTTTTTTAAAAATTGAATTGTTATATTCTATTTTCTGCAAATATATATTTATGTATATGTACTACTGTATTATCTGTCCTTCCAAATTATTTACTCTTTATCTCTATAGTAAGAACAAAATTTATGTCATAAAATGGTGTGGCTGCTTTTTTTAAAAAAAAGATTATGTTTAAAGTTGGGTCTAGCACTTGTGTATTTATATTTTTGATAGACTAGTATAGGCCAATCTTACCACAGTGAACATGTGGTCATTTTGGCGCTTTTTTTTTTGTGAGGTTAAAAAACCTCTCAGCATTCGGTCTCAGTGGTCTTGGCAATCTTCATGTTTACAGTGTTTCAGAGCTGGCCTAATTCACCCTTTCCAGATAATTATGCTTCCCAGATAGCATATGTTTTACTTTTGTTAGATTTCTATGGGCTTTAAACATTTTCCTGAACTTCTGAAAATAGAATATATTTTAATATTGCCGTGTCTCCATTATAATTTCTCTGATATATGGTGAGATATTTATTTTATGTCTTATGATATTTGTATTTTTTCAATGTATTGGAAATGACTTATTTTCAGCAGCCTCTACTATATACACAACATTGTCTTTTCACACTCTCCAGAGCATTCATTTCTGAACTCTTTAATCCAATAAATTTTATACTCTAATAATGGAATGCCTATTTTATTGGTTTTTTGATCCCTGAATTTATATCTAGCACAAGTGTGTGTGTGTGTGTGTGTGTGTGTGTGTGTGTGTGTGTGTGTGTGTGTGTATCTTTATCTTCAACATCCTCCTTTAGGCTAACCCTTGCATTTTGAGTATGTGGTCATCACCATGGCTGGGTTTTTATTAAGATGTCAGAAACTCTATGAAAATTCAGTTGAGTTGTCGTAGCAATCTTCTTGTAGGAAGTTTTTGAAAGTCCTCTTAGGTGAGTCTGATACTCTACCCTTTCCAGAGAATGCTTGTTTTACCCTCTCTGGATTTTGTACTTTTCAATTGTTATCCTGGATCTTTGAAAGTTCCAGTCAGTTATGTCTGGGAATAGGCTTCCTTATTTTATTGGGTGTTCTACTTAATCGATTGACATGCTTACTTAGAAATTGTTCTGTTTTTGAAAAAACATATTGTGGTGGTTTATGTATCAGCACCTTCCTATTCATACATTTTCTTGTTACTGTTTTATTCTTCATTTTAAATTATTGTTTAATATCTTTTTCATTACAACCTATTACAATACTTAGTATTTAAATACTCATAGCATTTAAATGCTTGCTATTACCTTTGCTTTATTGTTTGACTTCATATCTCTCATTTGAATATTTTTGAGTATCTTAGTCTAGGACAATTCTAGTTTAGACACCCTGTGACCATCTTAGTTGTTTTTTTCTTATTAAGGGTTTAGAAACTTCCTCAAAATTCTGTCTATGTTGCCCTGGCAAACTTCATGTATACAAAGTTTCAGGGATAGTTTATGCCAGTCTGATAATTTGTACTTTTGGTAATCTATTTTTATCTTTTCTAAGTTTTAAACAGGATTTATTCCTGTTTTGTGAAGGTTCAAGTAGGTTATGTCTTAATATCTGTTTGTTTGTTTGTTTTAAAGGGTGCTATGCTGAATTGACTTCCATACACAGTTCTGGAAATATTCCTTCTCTTTAAAAAAAAAAGCATATTGTAAACATGAATTTTATACCAACTCCTCTTAACTATGCTAAACAATCTATCACTGTATTCTCCAAATTTTTTATTGATAGTCTGTTTCATCATGATATATTTTACTTTGCTATGATTGAATACCCTTCTCAAATTTTCTTTTTTCTTTTTGCATCCTTTGAATTTTTATCTATCCTTTCCATATCTATAGCTTTTACAGCCTAATCTAAAAAAAAATCTTAGCCCTGTAATTATGAGGTCATCTTAGTGAAATTTTTAATTATGAAGTCAGAAACTTCCTCAAAATTTCCTGTTGCTGTTTGGTGGACATAGTGCTTCAGAGCCATCTTAAGTCAGTTTGATAATTTGCACTTTCTAGATCATATGTTTTTCACGTGTATTTGATTTTTTGGGATTTAAACTATATTTGTTGAAAGTTCTAGTAGACAATATTCAAATAGTGACATCTTTCTTTTATAATTATTCTGGTATATTTTATGATATATGTTCAATATATTTATTTTCAAATGTCTTCTTTCATCTTTCATTTATTTTTGAAAAATTGTAACAGGCTTTTTATTAGCAAACTCTTACATATCCTCTGTTTATTTGATTATTGCCTTTTCTAGGTCATTCATTTCTGATCTCTGTAATAGCACTCAATTTAATATTATAAACTCAAAATGGACTTTAGGATATTTCATATTTTCTTGGAATTTTTATATATCCCTTGTGCACATGGCACTTTAATATCTCACTCTAGCAATGTGAACATGTCTCCACCTTGGCTGTTTTTTTCACTGTGAGCTCAGAAATAGTGTTATCGTTCTGTCTACCTTGTCCTGGCATCCTTCAAGCTCACAAAGATTCAGGGCAAACATTACCAGTCTGATAGTTTGCCTTTTGGGGTAAAATATTATTTACCTGTTTAGAATTCTGTAGTTCTTGCGTGATCATTGATTTGAGGAAATTTCAAAAGGTTGTGTCTAAACATTAGCTTTCTCACTTTATGTGAGGTAATAGTTTATTGATTAACAACTCAGGCAAAATTTTTTTCTTCTTTTTATAATACTCAAAATTTGATGCTCTATTTTTCCACATTCTTCTAAATATGTATATGGTTATTATAGTATTATTTGTCCTTTTGAATTATTAATTTATTATCTACTGAATAGGAATATATTTTATACTTTGACATCTGAATGTCTTTTTAAATTTTGAATGTTTATACTTAACTTTGTGCCTAGCACCCATGTATTTATATATTTAATATCCTAGTCTAGGTCATTATTACCACAGTAAACATGTGACCTTCGTGTGTGTGTGTGTGTGTGTGTGTGTGTGTGTGTGTGTGTGTGTAATATTAGAAATGCTCTCAACCTTATATTTCAAAGGGTCTCGGCAACCTGCGTGTTCACAGTGTCCATTCATTTCTTAACCATCAGTCTAACATATATTATATACTTATGTCTGAATGCCTGTTTTATTAATGTACTTTGGCCATCAAATTTATATGTATCACATTATATATCTATTCAATATTCTCCTCTAGGTCAATCCTTCCATTTTTAACATGTGATGTGACCACCTTGGCAGGGGTTTTTATTGCGATTTCAGAAACCCTCTAAAAATTCTGTGTCAATTGCTATGGCAACTTTCTTGTAGATAGTTTTTCAAAGCCCTCTTAAGTGAGTCTGATAATTTACCCTTTATAGAGAATATATTTTTTATCCTCTTTGGATTTTGTAGTTTTCAGATTTTATATGTGTTTGGGAATTTTCCAGTACATTGTATCTCATTCTGGGCTTCCTTGTTTTACTGGGTGTTCTACTTGATTGATTTAACATGCTCATAGAAATTGTTCTTCTTGCTTTCCGTCTGGCGGTGGTCAACAGCATTGAGCCAGGATGGGCACCTACAAGTACATCCAAGAGTTGTAGTTGAAGAAGCAGTCAGAATTCATGCACTTTCTCCTGTGGCTGCGCTGCTGGGCGTATCACCAGCCCTCGTGCTGCACTGTGCCACGTGCCCCAGGCGGCCCTATAAGGAGTGCAGGCTGGGTTTACAAGGCCAAGCAAGGTTGTCATTCACCAGATCCACGTGGGCTGCTGCGGCTGCAAACGCCCGGTTCCCAAAGGTGCGACCTACAACAAGTCCAGTGTACACCATGGCGTCAAACAGCTTAAACTCAAACACAGCCTGCAGTCCCGTGGCTGAGGAGCAAGCTGGACACCACTGTAGGGCTCTAAGAGTCCTGAATTCCTACTGGATTGGTGAAGATTCCACATATACATTTTTTGAGGTTACCCTGATCAATCCATTCCATAAAGCCATCAGAAGAAATCCAGACACCCAATGGATCACCAAGCCAGTCCACAAGCACCGGGAAATGCGGGGCCTGACGTCGGCGAGCCCCAAGAGCCGTGACCTTGGAAAGGGCCACAAGTTCCACCATACCTTTTTTTTGAGTTGGAGTCTCACTCTGTCACTGAGACTGGAGTGCAGTGGCCACTCCCAGCCACTGCAGCCTTGACCTGCTGGGTTCCGGTTATCCTTCGCCCCAGCTTCCAAGTAGCTTGAACTACAGGTGTGCACTACCACGCCTGGCTAATTTTTTATTTATTGTAGAGATGAGGGCTCACCAAGTAGCCCAGGCGGGTCTCAAACCCGCGGGCTCAGGGAATCCACTCACCTCGGCCTCCCAAATCACTGGGATTACAGGCTGAGCTACTGAGCCCAGCTTCCACCAAACCTTTGGTGGCTGCCAGCCGCGGCCTGAAGGAGCCACAACACTGCAGCTGCACCATTAAGGCAAGTCATGTTTGTAACTCCCCCAATAAACAATGAGTACAGTCCTGTCTGCTTAAAGGTGTTTTTGTCTGTTAAACTAGTCTGCAGGTTGTCTCATGAATGCTTTGTCAAATTCTGAAAGTCAATGTGAAATAATGTCTGAAGACTCTAAGTGATGGTGTATCTTGTTTCTAATAAGATAAACTCTTTGTCTTTGCTTTATCCTAGTAGGGAGTTCCGTGTCCATGTTGAAAACTTGCTCTGCGATGTCATGGGTGTAAAATATATTCTTGAAAAGAGGGGTGCTGAAGCTACTAGCCTTTTGATGTATTTGGTGCATGTGGTAAGGCCTAAAGCCAGACTGGCAAGTGACAGTACTCTGCGGGGTCACTTGCAAGTGGCTAGGGGTTTTGTTTGGCAAATACAAACTTTGACAGTTGGATTTTGCTTGGAAGTTTGTAGGGTGAAGGAGAACATTCTAACCTATGTCATAGACATGTAGTGGCCATGGTTTTAGATTTAAAACAGTGTTCCATTTGTGTGACTGCTGTTTCTGAAAGAAAAACTTTACAAAATACCATCATACTGAGCAAACGTGGAAGGGACTCTTCCTATGAATGAAACAAGTCTGGGTTAATGTAGAACGCCTCAGTACCACTTAGGTTCACTTGACAGGGGACTGCTCCTGGCTTAATCCCATAGCTCTATGGAATTCATTGCATAGTTCTCAGTAGCATTCACACTATTGTACTTTGAAACTCATGGAAATTGAATGTTAGATAAGTAAGATTTAACCCTGGTTTGTAAGTTAATGATCAGTGCTAGGGTGGGAATCTGGTAAGCCAGTGGCCACTAGATAAATCCCTTTCAAGTGTGTGAGGTTAGAAAATTAAAGTCCGCTTTAATCAAGATTTTGAAATACTTACACAAGCACTAGTTTATGGCCATTACGAGTCCTCCAGCCACGTAAGGAGAGAAAGTAGAGTTGACTGTTTAAAAGGATGTACATACATGCCTCATCTAAGTCCAATCAGTCCTACGTATCACCTTGGGTCAACTCATTTGGCCCACTTCCCTGAGGCTACAGAGAACAGTCACAACTGGTGTGAGTGCAAGTTCACTGTCTCCAGTCTAAACTGACATGTTGTCTGCAGTCTTTTCCTTACCCCTGGTCAGCTGTCCTGAGAGTTCGTACTCTTCCACAAAGATGGGCCTTCAGTTGTATACCTGCCTTCACCTTGGGCACACCATCCTACTGTTGTCTGTTTGCATCATCTTCACATAGGCTTAGCTGAGCTTTCCAAGGGTCAGTCTGAGTGGGAAGGAATGCAGGAGAGAAACTGCCCCAATCCCACCAACGTTAGGGTGTGCTTACTTCAGAAGAACTGGTCTGATTTCAAATTCAAATGCTGGTTTCCCTGAACCAGTTGTTCTATTTCTTGAGGGGTTTCCAAAGGCTTAGTAATTGATTTCCAGGAAATGTTTGTAGTAGGCTCAAGACTTCATGAGACCGAAGTTTCTTTCTACTCAAAAATAATCAATCTTAAACTATACATCCTGATTGTGTGCAGAGGTTGTTCAACTAAAGGAATAAATATCTATTAAACAACAACAACGGAAAGAAATTGTTCTTTTGGAAACCATATCATTGTAATGTTTTATTTTTCTGTACCTTCCTCTCCATATAGATGCTTGTTCCTCTTTTATTGTTCATTCCAAATTATTCATTTATTACCTTTTTCATTATAACGTATTTTATCCTGTAATATCATAATGACTTCCTGAACAATTTTGGTTTTGTCTTTACATTTATATCTCCTTAATATCAATATCTTTATACTCTCCCATGTGGACCTGTTTGTTGGCTTTTTCATTTTGAGGAGGAAACTCTCAAAAGTCCACATTTCTTAAGAAAACTTAATGGATACAGTTAGGTTATAAATATAAAACAGCCTAGGACAGTTTTACATTTCATCTTTCCCAAAGAAGCTATTTTTTACCCTTTTTAGCTTTTCATGTGATTTTCTTCTTATTGTTAATTTTTCAAGTTTCAGAAAAGTATATGTAGATGTTGACAGTCTTCCTTTGTAATTATGTACATCTTCTAAAGTGTTTTTCTTTTATATTTTAGTGTAATGTTATTGTCTTTTTTCATTTATTTCTCATGCACTCGTGCCATTCTATTATCGCTCCTTCCAGATCGTTCATTACTTATGTCTTCAATACTCATTTATTTTAGTATTTAAATAGCATTTGAGTAACTTTTATTAATTTTGCTTTACTTTGGGAATGCGTAGCTATCATTTAATATATCTTAAATATCCTAGTCTAGGCCAATTCTAGCTTGCCATCATGTGACCATATTGGTTGGCTTTTTTATTATGGCCTTAGAAACTCCCCCAAATTTGTCTATGCTACCCTGGAAAACTTTATGTGCATATTGTTTCAGGGCCAGCTTTAAGTTTTTGTGATAATTCACTCTTTTGATAATCTATATTTCACCTTTGCTGGGTTTGGTAATTTACAGATTTTATTCTTGTTCTGTGAAAGTTCAAACAGATTATGTCTTGATATTCACTTTTGTTTTTCAATGTATATTATATTTTATGAACTTCCATATTCAGTTCTGGAAATATTACTTCTTTTTGAAAAAACTTGTAAATATGAATTTCACAACTAAAAAAATCACTCAATTATTGTTTATCTATAAAAATCACTCTCATTGTTCTTTTCAAACAATTTTTGATAATTAGTTTTATCACAATATATTTCACTTTGCTATAATTGAATAAACTTTTCTAATCTATTGTATGCTTTCTTTGAATTTTTATCAACATCTTGTGTATCTGTAGATTTTATAACCTCAGCTAAGATCATTCCAGCACTGTGAGCCTGTGGTTATCTTGGTTGACTTTTATTAGAAGTGTGGAAACTCGCTTAAACTTCTCAGTTTCTGTGGCAATCTTGTTGATCACAGTGCTTCAGAGTCAGTTTCAGAAGATTGGGTCTAGACAATGACTCTCTCTCTTCATTAGCAATTGCAGATAAAAAAGTCATAAAAATTAAATTATGTTCAAGTTGTCTGTATCATTCTATATGTACATGTTTGTCACAGTATTATTTGTCTTTCCAAATTATTCATTCCTCATCTCTGAATAGGAACTAATTTTATACCATAATATTTGAATGCCTTTTAAAAAATGATAAATGTTTATACTTGAAGTTGCATCTAGTACTTGTGCATTTATATCTTTAGTATTCTAGTCAAGGCCAATGATAGCACAATGGGCACATGGCCTTTCTGGGGTTTTTGTTTTTTTTTTCCTTACATTGTGAGGTAAGAAATTCTCTCAACATTTTGTCTTAGTGTTCCTGGTAACCTTCATATCCCTAGTTTTCCATAGCTGGCCTAAATAAGCTTATAATGGTTTACCTTTGCTGAATTTCTATGGGATTCAACTGTTTTCCTGGATTTCTGAAAGTAGAATATACTAGGATATTGTCATTTTTGAAATTAATTATTCTCATATGTGCTGGAATATTTGTTTACATTATATCTTATAAAATTTGTGTCACTCTCTTTTTTAATATAATGGAAATGACGTATTTTTAGCAGTCTCTCCTATGCATTCATGCAACCCTTTTGTTGGCATCTTTCCAATCATTCTTTTATTAACATTTTATTTCTAATAGATTTTGCACATTTATATCTGAATAACTTTGCATTAATGTTCTTCAGCTTTTATATACATATATATTTCTGATATATGTATATCCTTAGCATTTTTGTCTAGACTAATCCTTGTCTATACCAATCCTTGCATTTTGAACATGTGACTATTTTGAGTAAGGTTTTCGTTGTGATGTCAGAAATTCCCTGGTCATTGGTTAACAAAAGCTGACACCCTCACGGCCACCCCAACATCCACCTGCTAGGCTCCGGCAATCCTTCTGCCTCAGTCTTCCAAGGAACCAGAACTACAGGCTTGAGCTATCATGCCTGGCTAATATTTTTTTTTAGAGAGATGAGGTCTCTCCATGATGCCCAGGCTGGTCTCAAACCTGCATGCTCAGACTATCCTCTTGCCTCGGCCTCCCAAAGTGCTGGGATTACAGGTTTGAGCCACCACACCTGGCCAAAGGTGGGGACTCTTAAAGGGGAGAGACAGTGAGGGGAGCGAGGGTTGAAAATCATCCATTGGGTACCATTCTTACCACCTAGGTGACAGGCTCAATAAATGCCCAAATTTTACCATCACATAAAATTCCTATGTAATAAAACCTACACATGTACCCTTGAATAAAAAAAATTCCAAAAAGAATGAAGAGTCAAAGTCAGCAAAGGTTAAGTAAAAAATATTTCTCTCAGTTGACCTAATAATCTTCTTGTTGGTAGTTTTTCTAAGGCATCTTAGGTGATTCTGATAATTTACCCTTTCCAGGAAATATCTTTGTTACCCTTATTTAGTTTTGTAGTTTTTAGATTTATGCTTGATCTTGGAAAGTACCAGTTGATTGTGTGTCACTAAGGGCTTCCTTATTTTATTTGATGTTCTACTTAATTAACATATTCACTTAGAAATTTTTCTTCTTGGCCAGGCGCAGTGGCTCACACCTGTAATTACAGCACTTTGGGAGGCAGAGGTGAGAGGACTGCCTGAGCCCAAGGGTTTGAGACCAGACCGGGCAACTCGGCAAGACCTCTTCTCTACAATGAACCAACCCCCCTCCCACAAAATTAACCTGCTGTGGTAGTGCATGCCTGTAGTTCAAGCTATTTGGAAGACTAAGGTGGAAGGATTGCCTGAGCCCAGCTGGTCGACGCTGGGGTGGACATGAGCGTGCCACTGCACTCCAGCCTGGGCAACGTAGTGAGGCTCTAATTCAAAAAAAAAAAAAAAGAAATTGTTCTTCTTTTGAAAATATTTCATTGTAATGTTTTATATTTCTGTTTTTTTCTATTCATACATATGCTTGTCCCTGTTTTATTGTTTGTTCTAAATTACTCATTTATTAATCTCTCTCATTAAAATTTATATTTCCCCATAACACCTGAATGACTTTATGAAAAATTTCTTTGTTTTCTTTCTTTATATTTGCATATGTCATTAATCTGAATATATTCTTGCTCTTTCAGTTTAGAACCGTACTGGATCTTTGACTATTTGACTGTTTGTTGACTATTTTATTTTGAGATGAGAAACTTTCTCAAAAATCTTCATTGCTTCAAAAACCATGGATACAGTGACCCAGAGACAACTTAGGCTACTTTGATAATTGAATATTCCCAGAGAATCTATCTTTTTATGTTTTCCAGATTGGCATGGGTCTTTATTTTTATAGTTAATTTTTATAATTTTAGGGAATTATATGTGGAAATTAGCCACTCTCTTTTGTAATCATTCTTGTATATAGTGTCATATTTGCTTATTTTATGCTTTCTGAAGTGTCTTTCCTTTGTTTTATTTTTAAATGTAATCATAAAGGCATTTTTTCGGCAATTTCTCATATACTCATGCCACTATATTATAGCTCCTTCTAGACCAGGGATCCTCAACCCCCGGGACCATGGACTGGTAGTGGTTTGTGGCCTGTCAGCAACCAGGCTGCACAGCAGGAGGTAAGTGGTGGGCAAGTGAGCTAAGCTACATCTGTATTTACAGACACTCCCCATTGCTAGCATTACTGCCTGTGTTCTGCCTCCTATCAGATTAACACTAAAAAGCTAGATCTCATCTCCAACATCCTATGTGAAGTAGGGTTTTCTGCTGTGACAGCAACCAAAAGAGATTACAGAGTAGACTAGACATAAGCAACACACTTCAGGTGTCACTGTGTTGAGTCACTCTTAGATGGGACTGTCTAGTTATAGAAAAACAAGTTCAGGGCTCCCACTAATTCTTTATTATGGTGATTTGTATAATTATTTCTTTATATATTACAGTGCAATAATAATAGAAATAAAGTGCACAATAAATGCAATGTACTTGAATCATCCGGAATCCATCCACCCACCCCCACCTCCAGTTTGTGAAAAATTGTCTTCCACAAAACCAATCCCTAATCCCAAAATGATGGGGACCACTTTTCTAGATCATTCATTACTTATCACTTCAATGATGATTTATTTTTAGACAATAGTATTTTCATACATTTTATAACTTTTGTGTTTCTCATGGAATGTATATATCTCATTTGAATATATCAAAAATATCTTAGTCTAGGCCAATGCTAATTTAGTCATTATGTGACCATCTACTTTTCTCATAATGACATCTGAAATGTCCTCAAAATTCGATTTATGTTGCACTAGAAATTTTCATGTACACAGTGTTTCAAGGACAGTTCAGGTCAGTCTGATAATTCATCCTTTGTTCATGTATTTTTTAATTTTTCTAGGCTTGCTATTTTACTGTTTTTATCCTTGCTCTGTGAAAATTCAAGTATATTGTGCATTGATATTAGCTTTCTGTTTTTAAAAGGGTATTAGATTTGATTGACTTCCATATGCAATTCTGAAAATAATCCTCCTTTAAAAATTAACTATGACATCTGGCAAGATGGCAATGGGAAGGGTTGGATGTGGGATCTCCGTAAAAGTGAATGTCCATAGAGGTTCTTGCTTTTCCCCAGGTGGCTGCTGCTCCTGCTGCTGCTGGCCTGCTCTTTGGTCAGCCACGCAGGCCTGCCATCTGGAGGAAGCCAGCTGCACACACTGCTCTGTTACTGCCCCTCCCCCAACCCTGTCCAGGGCGGCCCTTGGATCCCAGCTCGTGGAACTCTGGACTCCCTCCTTACCATGCCTGGAGCTTCCCGGGTGTCTCACACTCTGCCTCTCCCTGCTGGGCCCCTGGCCGTTGACTCCCAGCCCCATGGAGCTTTGAGCTCCCTCCCTGGATGCACTACCCTGTCCCACCCTAAATCACCCTGTGCCAGGCTGACCTACAGCACCCGGCTGTCTTGCACTCTTCCTCTCCCAGCTTGCCATGGGACCAGAGATCAACTGGAGTCCTGAGACCAGGCAGAGACCTGCATTGCTCTGCCCAGTTCTGCCCAGCACCGCTCAGCCTTCAAATTGAGTCCTAAGGTGGCTGCTGCTCCTGCCACTGCCAGCATGCTCTTTAGCAAACTGAGCAGGCCTGTGGGCAGGAGGACACCAGCCCCACACACTGTTTTGCCATGCCACCACCCAGGGTAGCCATCAGCTACCGACCCCGTGGAGCACCAAGCTCCCTCCCCGGGTGCACCACCCCACTCAGAGCTGACCAGCACCAAGCCAACCAACAGCACTCCGATGTCTTGCACCCTGCCCCCCCATCTTGGCTCCCAGCCAAGATCAGCTACAGCACCCAGACCAGGCAGAGACTTGCACTGCCCTGCCCAGCTCTGCCCAGCTCCACCCAGTCTCCAACTTGGGACCTAAGACTTCATGTTTGTGTAGGAGAATAATGCATCAGTAAGGAGGTGGGTTGGCTTGTGTGTCTGTATGATTGTTTGTATGTTCTAGATTTTTTACTTTTTTCTGTCTGTGTGTCTCTTTTCATTTGTTAGTTGGTATGTTTGTCTGTTTTCCCTCTCACTCTTCTCTCTCTCCACATTCCACTTCTCCCTCTCCTTCTCTATTCCATTCTTTTTCCTTTTTCTTACCTCATTCTGCTTTCAGGAAGCAAACCTATACCCACACTGCATGAACAGATTGAAAGGCAGTGGAAAGCAGGTGCCAGGGTATCCATACACCTGTCAGTGGATACTGGGATCTGCAGATAGTTTTTGACTCATAGCTCTACCCTCAGTTGAGTCTCAAAACTGCAAAAAAGTACACCCCCAACCCACAGTCCAGCTTCAGAATTGAACAAAGCTAGAGGGTTACAACAAACAAGACTAGGATATTGAGCAAACAGATATAAAAGCAACCACGCCATCCCTGAACAACAGAATTAAAGAAGTGGGGGAGGAGGGGAAGTGGGAAGGAAAATCTATACAAATGAAGAAAAACCAAAAGAATAATACAGGTATCACACAGACCCCTGGGAGGTCAGACACTGAAAAAACAGACTTCGGAAAGCAAACAATAAAGATTGTCCAGAATGGCAAGAAACATACTACAAACTCAGACATCAAGACATTAATAGAATAAAAATAATTGAGGAGATACAAGAGGAAAATAAGAAGTTGATAACTGAGATAACAGCAGTCAAGAATACAGTGATTGAAACAAATAACAAACTAATAAACATGGAGAGCAGAATTAGCCAAACAGAAGAAAATCTCAGAGCTTGAGAACCAAGATATAGAACTAACGCAAACTGTCAAAAACATAGAAAAGAAGCTTAAAAAGACAAAACAAAGCCTTCAAGAGATGAGTGATTACTTCAAGAGACCAAATCTAAGAGTAATTGGAGTTCCTGAGGCAGAAAGAGAGACAGAGACCACTCTGGAACAAATATTTCATGAAATTCTTCAAGAAAACTTCCCTCATCTCATCAGTGATGTGAAAATTCAAACACAAGAGATTCAGAGAACCCCTGGAAGACAACAAATGAGAAGACCAACTCCCAGACACATAATAATTCACCTAAACAAAGTAGGTATAAAATAAAAAATTCTAAAGACAGCAAGAGGAAAAGTTCAGACTACCTACCCAGGAAGACCAATTAGAATAGCAGCAGATTTATCTACAGAAACCCTTCAGGCTAGGAGAGCTTGAAGCCCAATCATCAAAGTTCTCAAAGATAAATAATTTCAACCAAGAATAAGCTACCCAACTAACCTAAGCTTCATCAGTGAAGGAGAATTAAAATCTTTTTCAGACATTCAATCCTAAGAAACTACACTGCCTCCAGACCACCTCTACAAGAAACACTTAAGAAAGTATTAAACACAGGAGAAATGGAAAAAAGAATGTGAATGAAAAAAATGCACCATGAAAAGATATAGTTTGGCAATATGGATAAAATATCATTGGGCAACAATATATTGCCTCCAAGAGACTCATCTTACCAGAAAGGACACTCTGAGACTCAAAGTAAGAAGATATGAAGCAAAATTTTAGGCAAATGGAACACAAAAGAAAGGAAGAATTGTGATCTTAATTTCAAACAAAATACCCTTTAAGCTATCAAAAATTTAAAAAGATACAGAAGATCACTACATAATGATAAAAGGTTCAATCCATCAACAAGAAATATCCATCCTAAACATTTATACACCTAACATAGAAGCACTAACTTTCATAAAGCAGCATCTAGGGAGACTTTAAAAAGATATTGACTCTAGCACTATCATAGCTAAGGACTTTAATACCCCACTCACAACCCTAGATGGACATTCAGGACAAAAAATCAGCAAGGAGACCTGTAACCTCAATGTGACTCTTGACCAAATGGACTTAATTGATACCTACAGAACACTCCATACAATGACCATAGAATATACATTCTACTCTTCACTGCATGGAATATACTCTAAGATCGACCACTTCCTTGGCCATAAATCATAAGGCTGAAACTTTGCCATGCACCTTTGCAGACCACAGTGGAATAAAAATAAATATCAACACCAAGGTTACCCCCAAATCCACAAAGACATGGACACTAAACAGCATGCTGCTAAGCAACTCCTGGGTCAACATGGAAATCAAAACAGAGATTAAAAGATACCTGGAAGCAAATTAAAATGAAGATACATCTTACCAAAATCTCCGGGAAGCCATGAAAGCAATAATAAGAGGGGAGTTCATATCTCTACGAACACACATGAAGAAAATGGAAGGATTACAAGTTAATAGCCTAACAATTCACTCAAGGAAGCTGGAAAAGCAAGATCATCAAAACCCTAACTTCAGCAGAAGAATTCAGTTCACCAAAATAAAAGTCCAAATCTGGGACATAGAAGATGAAAAGATAATACCAAAAATCAATGAAACAAAAAGCTGTCTCTTTGAAAAGATAAACAAGATTGATGGCCCTCTAACTCAACTGACCAAGAAAAAGAGAGAAAAAAACAAACTGAACACAATCAGAAACACAAAAGATGAAGTCACATCTGATTCTGAAGAAATACAAAAGAATATCAGAGATGACTGTATACACTTATATGAAAACAAACTTGAAAGCCTAAAGGAAATCAAGAATTTTCTGATATTACACAATTTCCCTAGGTTGAAACAAGAATAAATTGAGACCCTAAATAGACCAATAACAATTCAGGAAATAGACTACATCATAAGAAATTTACCTACAAAAAAAAAAAAAAAAAAAAGCCCTAGACCAGATGGCATTCCAGCAGAATTCTACAAAACATAAAAGGAGGAACTGATAAATCCTATTGAAATCCTATTGAATCCTATCCAGGTGATTGAGAAGATGGAACTCTCCCCAAATCATTTTATGAAGCTAACATCACATTGATACCCAAGCCTGGTAAAGACTCAACAAAGAAAGAGAACTCCAGGCCAATATATTTGATGAACATAGATGCTAAAATTCTCAACAAGATCCTAGCAAACCAGATTCAAGAACACATCTCAAAAATCATCCACTACTACCAAGTAGGCTTCATCCTTGTGATACAAAGCTGGTTCAACATTCATAAGACCATAATCATAATTAAATACATCAACAGACATAAAAACAAAAACCACATGATTATATCATTAGGTGCAGAAAAAGCTTTTGATAAAATCCAACACCCCTTCTTGGTAAAAACCCTCTATCCTTTAGGCATAGATAGAACATACCTCAAAGTAGTAACAGTCATCTATGAGAAACCCACAGTCAGCAGACTAAGGAACAGAGAGAAATTGGAATAATTTCCCCTGAAGACTGAAACAAGACAAGGATGTCCACTCTCACTCTACCTGTTCAACATAGTTTTGGAAGTCCTAGCTAGAGCCATCAGAGATGAGAAGGAAATCAGGAGTATCCAAACAGGAAAGAAGGAATTCAACTTATCCCTCTTTGCAGGCAAGATGATTCTATACCTTGAAACCCCAAGAGAATCTGTCAAAAATCTTTCCGCACTTATAAACAACTTTGGCAAAGTTTCAGGGTATAAACTAAATGTGCAAAAGACAATCACACTTCTACACACCAATAATAAACAAACAGAAACCCCAATAAAAAGCACAATTCCATTCACAATAGCCACATAAAAAATGAAATACCCTGTCATCTTCCTAACCAGAGATTTAAAACACCTTTACAATGAAAACTACAAAACACTGCTCAAAGAAATCAAAGATGACACAAACAAGTGGAAAAATATTCCATGACCATGGGTTAGAAGAATGAACATTTTTAAGATGCCCATTCTACCTAAGGTAATCTACAGATTTAATGCAATACCCATCAAATTATCAGCAACATTCTTCTTAGACCTAGAAACAACAATACAGGAATTCATATGGAAATATAAATGACCAAATATACCCAAAACAAGCCTCAGCAAAAACAAAACAAAACAAAACACACAAAAAACAAAGCAGGAGGTATCACACTCCTAGACTTTAAACTCTATTATAAAGCTACAATAATCAAAATAAACTGGTATTGGTACAAGAGCAGGCATAGAGACCAATGGAATAGAACTGAGATTCCAGATGTAAAACCTTAATTTCTCACCAACTCATCTTCACCAAACCTTTCACTACCAACCACTGGGGTGACAAAAATCTATTCAGTAAATGGTGCTGGGAAAACTGGCTGACTTAATGTAGAAGATTGAAACAGGACCCCTGCCTATCCCCATCCATACAAATTAACTCTAAATGGATCAGGGACCTAAACGTAAAACCTCAAACCATAAGAACTTTAGAAAATACGGGAGACACAGTTATGGAAGTTGGAATTGGCAACCAATTCCTGATTAAAACATGGCCGGGCTCGATGACTCAGCCTGTAATCCCGCGCCTTTGGGAGGATGAGGTGAGTGGATTGCTTGAGCCTGTGGGTTCGAGACCCACCTGGGCAGTGAGACCTCATCTCTACAATAAATCAAAAAAAAAAAAAAAATCAG